CCCCCATCCACAGCACCGCCCTACCCTGGCCCGGATCCCCCTGCCTCCCTCCCCACCCCCGACAGCGCCACGCTCCCACCCTCCTTACTGGGACTTGCGATGAAGGTTCTGCATCATTTGGTGTCGGGCTGTCACAGCGATGGACTCACTGAGGAGGAACGCCATGGTGTAGGCATCGCGCCGCGGTAAACACAGGGCCATGAGCTGACAGAGCCGAGGGTACAGGGCACTGGGAGGGCAGTGCCGGATTGCAGAACAGGCCTCAGACAGGCAGCTGTACACGGCTTGCATATCAACAGCCTCTGGGTACGGGGAGAGGGCAGAGACAAACACACAGACAGCGAAAAGACAAAAAGACAGAGGACAATATTAGAAACAGTTTTACTGCAGAAACAAACACCACTGTCTCCCCCAACACCCCACCCTCACCCCTCCCGAAGGACAAGCCCCTCATCAGTCAGAGCAAGTTTCTGGGGCGGAACCCCCCCCCCCCCCCCCCATTCCCCCACACATGATCTCAGAAGAGCATGTCCTTCCTTAACTCGGTCTCTCGGTGATGCCTCTGCCCTCTCTCCGCCCGGGAACCCCGCGCCTTGCCCCGTATCCTGCCACCGGTGGTGGTGGCGGTGGCAGTGGGAGGGAGGCCGACCGTCCCCTTACCCCCCGGGACCTCCCCTTCCCCATCCCCCACCAGCTCCGGGTCACTGTCGTCGAAACGTTTCCTGAGTCGGGTACGGGGCCCCCTCCGGCCCGGTGCCGCGGTCCCCACTTTCCCCAACGCTGGGCCCGGCTCCCGGAGGGGCCGGGGCCTGGGAGCCCGGGGAGAACGGGCGCCGCTCCTGCCGCGGCCGGGGTGGAGGGAGAGGCCCCCCCAGTCCCGGGAGGCCGAGGCGAGGAGCGCGGAGGCCCGGCAATGCTCCAGGGGCCAGCGGCCTGGGGGCCTGGAGGCGAACCAGGCCCGACCGTCGCCCTCCCCGACAGGGGGCAGCCAGGCTTCCTGGGCGTAGGCCTGGGCCTCCAGCCAGGAGAAGAGGCCGGGGCGCAGGGCCTGGTGGGCCTCGGGCCCGTTCGCGCCCAGAGCCTGCCGCGCCAGGCCCCGCAGGGACAGGCCGAACGCCGCCCCCCTCTCCCGGCAGCGGCTCAACACCGCCCTCGGGACGTCCCCGAGCCGCCCCCCCCGGGACAGGAGCAGGGCCCATCGGAGGCAGCAGGCTGTCAGGGCAGGGTCCCCGCACACGGGGCATGGGCAGCCATCCGGATGGTGGAGGGGGGGTGGGGGCAGGGAGGGCTCCCCACCCCGGGACCCCAGGGGTGGGGAAGCGGAGGAGCCAGAGGCAGAGCGCCCCAGGGATGCGGTCTCCACCCGGGACAGGGGCCGGCCCCGCAGCGGGGAGGGGAGGGCGCTGCGACCCGGGGGGCGAGGGCCGGACCCCCCCTCACCCTCCATGTCCACCTTCCCCTCCTCCGGGACAGGTCCGGGAGCACAGGCTTTCCGAGGGCGGATCCTGGGCCGTGCGCGGGATCGGCGTTCCTGGAGGAAATCTGTAACAGGGCGGTGTTGGGGTGTAGGCGTGGGGGGGGGTGGTGGAAGAAGAGAGAGAAAGGGAGGGGGAGGTGGGAGACACAGAGAGAGAGAGAGAGAGAGAGAGAGAGAGAGAGACCTAAAGGGGGGTGGGAGACGGGGATGGGGGAGAGTGGGAGACGGAGGTGGGGTAGTGGGAGAGACAGAGAGAGAAAGAAAGAGAGAGGGGAGAGAGAGGGGAAGCAGGGAAGGGGGATGAAGAGTGCACGAGAGTATAAATGGAGAAGGAGATGGGGTGGGGTGGGGTGGGGTGGGAGAAACATTCACGTTAAAAACAGTTATATCTGTGAAGTCTCACTGAGTAACCCCTGATGGTCCCTCCTGCCCCCAACATAGCCGAGACCAGACTGCCTCACCAGCCCAGTGTAACTGGAGCCCAGACCCCAGGCCCATGTCCCACCTTCTCCCCACAACCCTGCTCCTTACTCCCATCGCCCAGCGTGACTCGACCTGCCTTCACCTCCGAATCACTGTCCCTATACGGCTGTACTAGTGTGTACCCCAGTCACCCAGACACATACTCGCCCCCTCAGACCTCTTCTCTAATCTCCCCAGCCTCTCATTCTTCTCCAACAGTCGGGTAAACCTTTATCAACCTCCTCCTGTCAGAGGGAGAGCAGTCCCTAACCTCTCCCGTCTCTCTCTGTAACGTGGGGCCCATGAACTGTACACAACCCACCAGATGGGGGGCTAACATGTATCATGTTCAGCATCACCTCCCGCTCTCTCTCGTACCCTGTGCCCCGTTAATAAAAAGGCGGGGGTGGGGTCACTGCATGCTTTCTTTCCCCATTCCCACCACCTTCAGTGACCCTTGCCCCGGTAAAACCACCCCCCCATCCCCTGCCACCCCACCTCCTTGACAATTGTTTGGATTGGATCCCGTTGCTGTCACACGTACAGAGACACAGCGTTGAAAGGGTTGCTCCGAGAGCTGTAACAGGCAGATTGTCCCGTGCGGAATTCAATCGGGATAGCAGGGCACACAGTATCACAGGCACGAGGCGGGGGGTGAATGGGGCGTGAGGGGGGGGCAGGGGGAGCGAAAGAGAGAGACACACAGACAGAGACACACAGACACGGACACATGGAGAGACACAGACACAGGAATTAACATTAGAGGGGTCCACACACAAGCCTGATGACAGCAGGGAAGAAGCTGTCCCTGTGTGTGTTGGTAAACACGTTCTCAAACGTTTTTTGCATCTTCTGCCTGGCAGGGGGTGAGCGGGAGGGGCTGTAACGGTGGTGGTGGTGTACCCGGGGCAGGAGGGGAACTTTGACGATGTTTGACGACCTCCCGAGGCTTTGAGGAGTGTAAGAGGCAGGATGTTGGCTCGCGGGATGGTCTGGCTCATGCGGCTCTCTCTCGTTTCTAGCGCGAGCTGCCCGAGGAAGGGATGGGGGGGCGTTGACGCGGCCCCCTATTTCAGCTCGCCTTCCGACGTCCTTACCCCCCCACCCCCAAACCCGCGTCACCTCACATTCACACTCTCCCCCGCCGCTTTAACGCACCACCCTGCTGCCCTCCTACACTCTACCCCCC